ATTTTTTATAATGCAATTTTTTAGAAGTATTTTCTGCTAACCAGCTAGGTCAATTCAGAGAATTTAAGGTATTTATTAAAAGTTACTGTCTCTATTTGACATTACAGTATGTGGAAAGGATTCATGATTTACCAAAATAATATAAATAAACATGTATGTATGTGTATACATACATATATACATATATATAATAAATATAAATAATATGTATATGATGCCTAACATGTATATGATGCATACAATTTAATGTGAATAATGTTTGGCTAATCCCAGAATATATTAAACAAACTGACACCCTTTTATATCATTGAATTTTAAGGTTTCTATGTGTATTTTAGAAAGATACTTTGACCTTGGATTTGAAAATGGTAAAAAAATAACCCGCTTGTAGAAAAAATAATATTCCAGTAGAGAACTATGAATTAATCATTTTTTTCAGTCATTCAATTAAAGGTTCATTACTGATAATAACATGTTCAGAAGTGATAGGCTGGTTACATTTCTAAGCATTACTCCCTCAAACAAGAACCCAATTGATTCATAGCTCTAAGCAAGCAATGCTGTGGTATGATTAGCCCTGTGTATATTTAGTCTTATTTTAGAGAAGCAGGGGAGAAAACAGTGAATTCAAAAGCACAGCTTATATTTTAGAAGTTCTAACTTAATCTCAAAGACTAGGAGGCTGAGTCAGGAGGATTATAAATTTGAGACCAGCCTCAGCAATTTAGTGAGATCTTGTCTCAAAAAACTAAAAAGAGTTGGAAGTGTGATAAGGTGGAGAGAGGGCTAGAGTTCAATCCCCAGTACCAAAAGAAAAATAAGAATAAGAATTATACCTTGTATATATTCTTGTCTTAAAAGGAAATTCTCATCCAAATGTCTTGGATTAGTCATAAGCTAGAGGTCAAAACAGGGTTGTAGAGGCAGCCTAACTTTTTAAAATTACTACTAGTTAATCACTACTTTTAAATAGTACATTTCCACATTTAAAGTTATAAAAATGTCCTCCACTTAGCAACATAAACAATTTGCATCATTTTAAAATGTTATCTGAAAACTGCTGGTGAATAATAAAAAATCTTAATTTCTTAAAATTAGATGAATATTTTCATTGTAATGTGTTTTTTGTTGGTTAATTTTACTGTGACAGGAAATCTACAAAATATTTTTTAAATGGTGTTTGTTCTCAGGAGAATGCAATGGGAAGTTATCTTTATTCTTTGTTTCAAGGTGGCATGGGAGAAGTTCATGAAATACAGCAACCTACCTTGGGAATTTATTAAAATAGTTAATACTTTTAAAATAGGATAATGAATTTATTCCATATTCTTTAAATGTGGACTACCAAATATATAAATGTTTTCAACATATATCTATATGCAGATCATATCATTTGAAAATCAGAATAGTACATTAATGAATAAATGAGATTGTGAAATCTTAATATAGTCCTTTCAAAGTTTATAAATCCCTTTTATATTTTTCTACATTATCTTGCTATAAAATATTTAAAATAATCATTTAAAAATTAGAGTTATAAAAATTTTTTTAAAAAAAATAGTTCTCACCATCAACATCAGAATTTTAGGTACAGGAAAGGGAAAAAAAGACCTTTTCCAAAAGTCCGAACTGACATTCAAAAGACTGATCTTCCAGTCTGTGACTTTCAGATACCCAGTAAAATGTCTTCATCAAGAAATTCAGATGGATTCAATTACTAGATTATTAAATTCCTTGACTATTCAAACAAAACAAAACAAAAAAACCTCATTATTTTGAAGGCACTTAACTTAGGAAAAGTCAGTGAAAAGGTAAAAAACAAGATTGGAACCCAGAGGTAAGAATGTATTGACTTCTAAAAGGCAGTGCTGTCCTCTGACAAATACGAGCTACATAGTTCAGAAAGGTATGAACAGAGTTCCTCTACAGAGGAAGATCAGTAGCTGCAGAAATAGGGTGAGATCCCAGTATACATAGACATGATTCCGTGAACTCCAAAGATTTCTGGCCTGAGCCTCACAACTTCCTGGGGTCACTCCGCCTAAGTCCAAGTACCCACTGAATAGTTAAACACAGAATGTGCCTGTAGGCATTCTCTTTTATTTGCTTCTATGTCCACATTTTCCCCCTATAAAACAAAACCCTGACTTTGGAGAGCAGAGAATACATCCGGTGAAAATTGAGAATTTGCCCAAATCTTCACATTATCTACTAGCTGCAAATGATCTGTAGAAAGTTGCAAAGCCACCCAGACAGGCCTGAGGCCAAGGGCTGTCTTTGCCCTTTTGGGATTTCCTCGCCAAGTGCGGGGGCGAGGGGGGTGGGGGGGAGTGAAGAAACGTGGGGTGAGGAGTGGAGGGCTGCCTGAGGGTTGGCACAGAGCCCAACAATTTCTTCTTTTTCTCCTTTAAAAAAAAAAAAAACAAACAAAAAACAAAAAAAAACTCTATCTTTCCGTAAAATAAAGCGGGACGGTGGGATATAGTGGGGAGGACCTGAAGGTGCACTATTCTCCTGGCAAGTCCGGAAGAAGTGAGCTTTAAGGATAGGTTGAAGGTCACTGTCTTTTTCACAACAGGGTTATTTCTAAGGAACCCAGGAAAGCTGCTCTTTCTTCCAGGGATGAGGAATCCCCCGCTATTTCTTCCTGTTTGTCGCCGCATGAAGCTAGAGAAAAAAAAATAAGTAATTTCTAGGTGTCCTGGGAAAGTTAATTTCCTTATAGATAATAAAATTAAATGAAATCCCTTACAATGGTGAAGATAGGATCTGGTGATAGTAGACTCCAGGCACTTCTATGTCGCATGCAGCAAACCCCTTCTGGTGGCTCTGGCTTCGGCCAACCTAGACCCTGGGTCCCAGAGCCTTGAACACGCAGAAGTCAAAGCGCTCCTCTTTTCTAATATTTACAGAACTATTGTTCAAGAAGTGGGCTGCAGGATAAATACTCCCATTTCTCAGATGGGGTGCCTAGGCTAGGAAAATTTAAATGACTTGCTCACAAAGGCTAAGGCTAAAAAAGTCAATTCTCCCCTAATCTGCCGCATTCAAACTGGTCATGTGTAGCAAAGGGACGAGGGGGAAAAATGGTCGCCTGCGACGAGGAGGACAACCTCTTTCATCTCCAGCAGCTAGGCACTGGGATTGGAGTTCGCTCGGGGTTTGCCAGCTAAGGTCGCGGTGTGATTGTGGCCTCTTCAAGGGAAGGGCAAGCGTGATGCTCTTCTGCCACCGTGCGAGAGCCGGCAAGGGAGCCATCCCCAGAGAGAATAAAGAAACCTCTGCAAAATGGAACAAGGGGATGCTTCTCTTCACCCCCACGGCCCAGAAAGGCCCGCCAGGCTTTTAGAGCTGCGAATTCTCCTCCGCCTACGTGTTCTGGGCCGCTGTAGGCGACGACTTTCCCCTAAAAGTTGTCCTTCCGGCTGATTCGGAAGTCGCTCCAAGCTAGAGAAGGTTTATGCTTTGTCATTATCCTCATCGCCCTCTTTATTTTGCCCCTGCCCTGTCGCATTTCAAGAAAATGAGCTCTTAGAAAAGAAAGCCTCTCCGTTGAGGCGGCTGGCAATCTCACAGAAATGATGTTAATGGTTGCAGGGCTTTTTTCTTCCCCTCTGCTATTTTTTTCGAGTGAACTGTGAAGATCTGTGAAAATAATATCAGGGTTTTCCGTCAGAACGAGCTTTGCCCTGCACTCAGGCGTAGCATGATCTGACCTGACACCTCCAACCATCTGTGCTATCTATCTGCCTTCTGATTTACCAGATCTGTACAAGCCACATACAAATTGTACTTGATACCGAAGAAAAGACAGCCAGGCCCAGTCCAGTTCGATGGTGAACTTTCCATTTGATCCCTTTCTAAAGACCGGCCTCCCAAAGACTTTCCTGGTGTTTTCCTTGGACACACCCTCTACCGAGTATGTTCATCAAACTAAACAAACCCCCATCAAAGGCCCAGATGAGATCGTGGTTTCTTTGACCCAGGCCTCAGAAAACGGTATGATGTAGATGTCAATTGGGAATCAATAAAAGTTGCCAATTCAATCTACTGGCCAGAAGGCAAAGCCGCCAAGAAAGCCCTACCTCTCTGCAGGAGGGGTCAGGGCCCGGCGGCTTAGGAAGTGCTTTCTAGTCCCCGCTCCACGCAAGCGCGCGCGCGCGCGCGCGCGCGCGCGCACACACACACACACACACACACACACACACACCCACACACAATTGAGGATCCCCCCTGCTCTATTTTTTACTGAATTGCGTTTGGGCTATAAAGTCAAGATTTCTGTCTCCAGTTCCGATTATATGTTCTAGCACAGAAATTAACCTTCAATAAGAGGTGCAAATCAATATTTTAAAAAAACGTGTTTCCAACAAGCCTTTAAGTTGCTGTTCTGACCTACCAATGACTTCTCACTCTAAATGTGGCTACGCTGCACATTTGTTCAAGTCCGTTAAACTGGAGAGGGGGAGACTAAAGAGCATCATCTTTATTTGGGTGAGAGTCCTCTAAAGCTTGAAATGTTTTTACTTCATGGCCAGCAACTGTTATCAAGTGTGAGACTTTTGAAGGGAATGGAGATAGAGTCCAAACTGACCTCTTCTACAGATCCCTGGTCCTGTTTCCTCTGCTGCAGATTTGCTTCCCACCCAGCTGCTTTGACAGCTGGAAAAGGAGAAGTGGCAGGCATGTAAGGATGGGTACTTGGAAGAAATGAGAAGATCCGCTTTGCCTCCCTCTCCCCATTGTGCGTGCTCACCCCGTAGGGTTTACCGTTCCGTTATTACAACTAAACTTGCGAATTCTTGGAGGATTTCGATTTTGCCCAGTCCTCTTTGTCCTCTGGAGACCTTTTGACGAGGCATCGCATAACCCCAAAGTGAATTCCTGTAGCATCCCTGCCTCTTTGATGGGGAAAAAAGAGGGAAGGCCCAGGCAGGAGGAGAGGGGGAGAGCGAAACGCTGTCGCTCTTACTTGTTTTCTTTCCAGCCACTCATTACGTCTTTTCATCCTCTGGGTTCAATGAAATACTGAGGAAAAGTCCACCGGCGAACAGCGGGCGCTGTCGAGTGCTGGGAGGTGCTGAAATGGCCAGGGCGCACTGGTCGCAGCCTTGATTGGCAGAGCCGACCAGTGACTGACAGGGGGTCTCCATGGCGCCCGCGCCGCCAATCCGCCCACCCCAGTAGTCGCGCCAGCTAGCCTGCCTGCGTGCCTGAGCCAAGCCGAGCCGAACCTCCTCCAGTCGGGGACGCTAGCTCCTGGCCGTTGTGTCGCCACTGCAGCCCCGGCGGTGTAACCCCAAGGCGCCTCGCGGAGAAGAGCCTGGCGCACCCGCCCTGGCCCGCGGGCATCTGCTGTGCGTCCGGCCCCGGGCTCAGTGTCCCTACAGCTGCCGGCGCTGCCTCAATGTTTCAGCTACCCATCTTGAATTTCAGCCCCCAGCAAGTGGCCGGGGTATGTGAGACGCTGGAGGAGAGCGGCGATGTAGAGCGCTTGGGTCGCTTCCTCTGGTCGCTGCCCGTGGCCCCTGCGGCCTGTGAAGCCCTCAACAAGAACGAGTCGGTGCTGCGCGCGAGAGCCATCGTGGCCTTTCACGGTGGCAACTACCGCGAGCTTTACCATATCCTGGAAAACCACAAGTTCACCAAGGAATCGCACGCTAAGCTGCAGGCACTATGGCTTGAAGCGCACTACCAGGAGGCGGAGAAGCTGCGTGGACGGCCGCTGGGGCCAGTGGACAAGTATCGTGTAAGGAAGAAGTTCCCGCTGCCGCGTACCATTTGGGATGGCGAACAGAAGACACATTGCTTCAAGGAGCGCACGCGACACCTGCTCCGAGAGTGGTATCTGCAGGACCCATATCCCAACCCCAGCAAAAAGCGCGAGCTCGCCCAGGCAACCGGACTGACCCCCACGCAGGTGGGCAACTGGTTCAAAAACCGCCGACAAAGGGACCGGGCGGCTGCAGCCAAGAACAGGTCGGTAACTAGCGGCCTCCGCGCTTAGTGAGCAAGGGAAGGGGGCGGGTGGAGACATTCTTGGCGAGGTACCTGGTGCTTGGAGAATCCTATTCAAATCTCAGGAGTTGGGAGCACATTCTATCCTCGGTTTAGGAGCCCACTGAGCTTTGGGCTGTCGAGCGCGTGTTCCCTATGGTCACCTAGTTCCTCAACTTCTCTATCGTTCACGGCGTATCAGGGTCACTATAGCAGCTAGCCTCGGTCGCCAAACTAAGGCTTCATGAAGAGGGGTCGGCAGGAGAGAAATAAAGATTAAAATCCTAGAAAAGATAGGGAGACTCCAAGGTCTAAACCTAATTCTTGTCAGCCGGGGCCCAGGCTCCTACTATTAAGGAAAGCCTGGCTTATTACGTGTCAGCTTCAGGTTATCATTTTTAAAGCCCAGGTGCCTCCTTCTCTAATGTTTTGAAAATGGTTTTTGAGAGGACTCCTATTCCTAAGTGCAAAGTCGAGTTTTCTTCTTCCCATGCGCGACTAGTCTCAAAAGAACAAACTAGTTGGCCCAGGTTTTTCGTTACTGAACGTGTGGATCTCCATTAGTCAAAACATTTTGGCTAAGGGCTCTGCCTCGTTCCCCAGGCCCAAACTCTCCGTGCGACCCTCAGGCAGCAATGTTTGCCTTTAGCAGGAGCCGACCGAGCCTCACGGGTACTGAGTCAGAGGTTAGTCTGAGACAGATGCACTACTGGGAAGGGAGTCCCAAGTCCGAAGCCTTATCTGTCCTATTCATCCACACCTCGGCTGTTTCCTTAGAGTCCTGTAAGTCTCCCAAAGGTGGGGAACAACTAGGAAAGACCAAAGGCAGGGGAAGTGGAGCAGATAAAGGGAACGTAGGGGGCGGAGGCAATTGCAGGACTCTGCCAAGAAGCGGCCGAGGACTCCCGCTTGACCTCTGTCGGTTCTCCTTCCCCACCTTAATTGCCAGGGTCTAAGGAAGATCATCTGGTCACGGGGCTGAAGGAATGCGGGCCGGGGAAGGGGGGTGGAAAAAGGAGACGACGGGCGGCGGCAACTTTCCGCAGTGTGACCCGTGTCCCCTTCCTTCCCCGTAGACTACAGCAGCAGGTTCTGTCGCAAGGCTCCGGGCGGGCTCTACGGGCCGAGGGCGAGGGCACCCCGGAGGTGTTGGGTGTCTCCACCAGTCCGGCCGCTAGTCTATCCAGCAAGGCGGCCACTTCGGCCATCTCCATCACATCCAGCGACAGTGAATGCGACATCTAAGCTGCCCAACCAGCACGCTCAGAAACAGAATCCCGTGTAAAAACGAGATAAACAATGAAGCGGAAAAGAGGATGAAAGACCAACAAATACACCACGACGGAAGCCAGGTGGCCAGGGACCCGCGGGCTTGGGTTTCAGTGCTCCACGGTCCGCCCAACTCCAGTGGCGCCCTTCCGCCGTTATCACAGGCGCCCGCGGTGAGGCCTGACGGCAGCGCCCCGTTGTCCTCGCTTTGCTTTTTCCCAAGGATTTTGCTGCGAAGAAGTCTTCGGAACCCGAACTGCACGCTGAGCGCCTGCCCTGAGTCTCTTGTGGGTATTTCACGTCGAAAGGACGCTGTTATATATGTATAACTTTTGCTTTAAAGTTTTTTTTTAACAAAACATATATATGCTGTTTACTTATTTAAGAGACTGCCATGGTAGGTTTCTCTGTAGCTTGGGGAACTTGCTGTTTCTAAACGCAAGCTGGTGCATTCTGTGTGGAGAAGCCAAACAATAAAACAACTTGGTGGACAACCTTTCTTAATTAAGGGAGCTGCTCAGATTTTTTTTTTTAAGATCATTCTTATTTCCTTAATCAGGCATGCAGGAATGAACTCTCCTGCAAATAGTCTCATCAGGGTTTTCTCTGTATCTTAGGCCATCTCTGGGGTCTCCCAGTGTATTTCTAAAACAACTAATGGTAGGTCCATAACCAAGTTGTAATATGTATGCCAAGCCAAGTTGTAATATGTATGTATGTAAGTATGTGTATGCATACATATATACACACTATGATATATTTAAACTTAGAAACAGGCAACATGAGTATGCTCTGTAAGGCAACCCCCGGTCAGTAAGTAGGGTTTGTCCACCAACATTAATTTTTATGAAGCAGGAACAGTTTGGGAAGCCAGACTGGGCCCTAATAATAGATCCAATTTTATAAAAAAGCAAAACCATCCTGCCACATATTCGGTAACAAAAAGGCTTTCCATCTCCTTTGAGGCCCCTCTCAAGTAGTGAGCACTCATGATCATGCTAAGTGAGCATACACTCCATTTAGAATTGAGCTTTTATTAAAATAAGACCAAAAAATAAAGAAAATAGGAGAGGTCATAGGTAACTAACTAGCTTTTTTTTCTTTTTTCTTTCTTTCTTTCTTTTCTTTTCTTTTTTTTTTTCTTTTTTTTTTTTTTGCTGCAGAACTTAGTTTTAATCTAACGAATGATTTTTAACCAGACAGATACCAAGATGGAGGGTAGTATAGAATTGTGTCACAAATTGAGGGTAAGACAAGACTTCAGAAAAATGATAAACCTTTTAAAAGTCTGATTCCACATTAAACATAAAATAAGTGATCAAGAGCCTCACTCTCCTAGTAATAGCCTCAATTAAAAATATAAAATATTCCTAGCATTAATTTTTCCTTCTGCATACACACCCCCACCCCCACATACATGCACTACTATTCTGACACTAAGAAAGGAAATGCTATCCAAAGAGTCTCCTAAGCTTTTAACCTAGTGAAACAGATTGCATATTATAAAATTTGACACTGATCTTTAAATCACTTGAGCTGGACTTCTCTCCCCACCCCCTTAGAGTCCTTTCAATTTACCTCTCTGTCCTTAGATGTTCTTTGGGTCAGAAGCCTGCTAACTAGTGGATGATTTAGGCAGATATGTTGAACTGCAAACCAACCAAAATAATTGAAGTAATGGAAAACAAAAAGCAGTCAAATGGCAAGATATACTTTGAAAGCCCAGGAAGGATTGATTTTTGATTTCTAAATTACTTAAACAGATTTGGCTCATCTGAACTTTATAAATGACTGTCATTGCACACAGTGGCCCTTTTTGGAGAATTTTAAAAAATCAAAACTCCTTCTTGCACAAGAGCCCTAGACTGAAGCATTGAGAAACCCTTTGTGATCAAATTGGTGTTCTTCCCAAAAGCAAGCAAATGCCTTCCTGTAGGTCCTGAATGGCTAAGATGATAGAGCTCTTTCCGGACTGAAGTTTGTTTCCTAGAGCACATAGTAGTTCCACTAGTTCCTCAAATGCCCAGGAGCAGGACAGGACTACAGTGAGGCCTGGGAGGCACCTAGAATGCAAATTTTAAGGAGCCATTCACTTTCAAGGTCATGTAAGTGCCAGAAATCTGAATGTCTCCGTAAATTTTGCACTCTAAATGCCTCTATTGCCTCACCATAGTCCTGAATCTACCAAGTAGTATTGCGCTTCTATGAAAAATCCAGTGATTTCCAGTCTTGTGCCCCAGCTACATCCCATCCTAGCTATGGAGTTGCCCCGAACCAGCATTTGGAGGACTTTGTTTGGCAAACTTTCTCTCTTAACTTGATGATTCCAGGTCCAAAAGGAAAAGGAAAGAATTAATGAGTGGAATAATGTAAAAAAAAATGATATTCTAAAGATTCCAACCCACTTATCAGTTCAAATGATGTCTAGAAGCAGAAAGAAATGCCCATTCTTCATTTTAAAGGAAACAGGTAACACTTCTAGGAACTAAGTTTTTCTCAGAAAAGGATTTTTAAATGGCACTTACTTGTTTGGAGAAAGCAAGAAGGCCAAACAGTGGTGGAAGTTGGTTTTTTGTTTGTTTGTTGTTGTTTTCAACTTTCTGCTTTAGTGAAAGCCTTTAAACTACATCTATCATTTACTTAAATTAACATGCTCCCTAAGGATTACATTATAAAGTGGCTATAATGTTTCAATAATCTGGAGATTTGTTCCTCTAATTTCACTTTAGAATCTTAAGTAGTTAATGCATTTTTAAAGGTTCTTTTAAAAAGTATTTATCTGGAGCTGGGGATATATATATAGCTCAGTTGGTAGAGTGCTCACCTCACATGCACAAGGCCCTAGGTTCAATCCCCAACACACACACACACACACACACACACACACACACACACAAAGTTTATGTGAAATCTGGTGACACCTAACTGCCTTGTGAATAATCAGTTATTTGGCGACCACATACTGCAAATTAATCCAGATCTTCAGATTTTTTTTTTGAGATTTCTTTTATTTAAAGGTCCAAATTTTCCCATGAACATTATTATAAAAGATTTCTTTTTAAGCCCTCCCCTCATATCAATTTCATCTTGTTCCAGACAGGGTTCTTTTAATCAATAAAATGTAGAAAGTCTTAACGTTCTGAATTTGGAGATATCTCCATATGGTGAGTTTCCTTTCTTCTGCAATTCTTTTATCACAGTTGCCCCAAAAGCAGTTACTCCGGAGGCAGAGTAGAACGAAGCAGTTTTACATTTCAAGAGACTTGACCAATGTCAGGATTTTACCCCAAGTCTCCGCTCAGGTTCTTTTACCGCTTCTAATAACTATTCCAATCAGCCTTCAGTTCCAGGGGGAAAAAAAGAAAGAAAGAAAGAGAAAGAAAAACCGATGGCCCTGCTCCCCAAATGCCGCAGTTCCTGTCGCCTCCACTTAATGACCCACTCGGCTTCCACCCGCCGCTGCCCACCCCCTCTTCCCCTTCACCAGTTTGTTTATAAAAATCTGAGAGGGTGGGGAGGAGAGGCTTGGGTGGGGGAGGACTTGCTCTTTGTTTACATTAAACAAATGACAGGCAAAGAGCTCAGGCTAAGTCTTCCTTGACCCCGTTCTCTCTCCCTAATTTTAACAAAAAGGAAAAAAATATTGTATCCAAAGAGAATGTGAAAGGGGCGGGAGGAGGAGAGAAGCAGCTTTTGGCTCTATTCAGCGGGGACGCGGGAGCGCGGACGATTTCCGCTCCCATTGTGAGGCGGGGCCGGGGGGCGGCGGTGAATGGGGGGTCTGCCGGGCGGCCCGCGGGGCTGTCAGGCGGCTCAGCGTAATCAGGGCTAATGACAGCGGCCGGGCGCTCGGCGGGACAATGCGCGGGGCCGCGGGGTTTTGTCGGCCTGAATGGCTAATAGGTTTGCCTGCGGGCAAAGAAGGGGCGGTGTCAGGAGAAGGAGGCAGAGAGCGGAGAAGGGGTCATTGTCCGCGCACTGGCCCGGGCGCCGAGGCGCGGCCCTCTGTCGCGCGGCCACCCCTGGAGCCCGGCGCGAGGGACGGGCGGCAGCGGCCGGGAGGCCTCCTGGAGGCCCGATGGAAAGAGGCCGCAGGAGCGGCGGGCGCGTGGGTCCCCTCGGGGAGGCGGTCCTGTGCGAAATGGTGGGGCCTGAACTTCATTCCGAAGGAGAAGGCTGGCCCGGACCCACAGTTGCCGGGAACGTGCCCCTTCCTCCGGGCTCGAATCGCGACTCTGAGGGGAGGCAACTCTGCGCACCCACCTTTTCCGTCCAGCACCCGGGGAGCTCGCACACTGTAGGCCTCGAGCCACTCCTGTTGTGACGGCCACACTCAACTAGCTCGGGGAGAGAAACCTCTCAAAACCTGGGAACGGGGTTAAATAAAAACCAAGGTGAGCAAAATACACACCCAAGTGAGCGCTCCAGGAGCCATGGAAACGCGGGCCGCGCCGACGGCTGGGCTCTGCTAGAGCCTCAGTTAAGCGATGCAGGGCCGCCGCGCGGGTCTGGGCCTGCGCAAGTGTCTGCGCGCGCGTCGGGCCTAGGCCTGCGCGAGTCTTGCCCGGACCGCTAGCCCCACCGCAGTAGTAACCCCTGGCTGTAGGCGGCGCAGAGCTAGATGCTGGGCCAGGGTGAAAAAGCTGAGAGGTTTCAGACCCACGGAGCGGGATATGCAGGCACTGGGACCTCCAGGGGGTTTTGCGCAGCCGGCAGAGGCTCAGCTGTCCGGGAGGAGACAGGGAGCAGTGCACTACGAGGAACAAACCGCATGTTTAAGCCTGGCAAGCCACCGGGACCCCCCTTCTTTCGGAAACCTTGAGACTCCCGTTTCCCTTTCTAAACTCTTAGACATTTCAGGGTGCATCCTGGCTCGCAGCTCTCTAGATCCTGCCTTGATCCTGTCTCTGCTAGGATTTATATTCCCAAGCATCTTTAGACGTACCCAACTGGTTTCCTTTCCCCTTTCACTGCCTTGTCCGAAGACAAAGGGTGGTGAGGGCGATCCCAGGGCAGCACAGGCAGTTTCACGCCTCCGTGCCTCTGCTCACGCTGTTTCCGCTTGCGGGGTACTTTGCTCTGTCCACATACTGCCCTCTACCTGGGCCACTAAACGGTCAAGTCACCAAATTTACCCTACCTCCACTAACTTTCTCTTGAACCAGTGAGCCGCCCACAGAAAATTGTTCACTTCCTCCTTAATGTTCAGATTACACTTTATCTAAATGGTGGTTTTAATGCTTGTAACATCTTTTTGCGTATTTATTTGCCCGTTGGACTCCCTTCCTCCATAGAATCTCCTCTTCAAGGGCAAGGACCAAATTTATTCATCCTTGTACACCCAGCGCCTAGACTGAGTAGTACGTGCTCAATGAGTACTTTAAACCTGAGTGAATTCATGAATCTTCCTTGAAACCGGCCTATTCCACATTAGTGGAGAACCTCTGATAGCTCTGAGCTTATTTGAACAGCAAAGATGACATACTGGCTGAACCCAAAGTTTATTTA